GGGAGAAAATCACAAAAAATGTTAGTGGTTCAAATAAAATAAAATAAATAAATAAATACAGTTAATTTTTTCTTAAACTCATTTATTGCTATTTTTTAGATGTAAAATGAGCTCGATATATTCTTGACAGATTTGTGGATATCCACTCTAATATGGTCACGTACAAAGCTATCTACACTTGCACTATTGGCTATTGATTTTGTGTCTCAAGACTTTCACAAATAGTATTTTATTAAAAAATGTAATAATAATAAAAATAAAATAAAAAATGCTCATGTAACCTACATGCAATTACACATCCAATGATATGACCCAATTGTAGTTTTCCCTTGTGAGACCAAGAATCAAAAGCCTTAATATGAAAATAAATGGCAAACGATCAGTAACAAAGAATCATTAGCTTCCGTAGAAATCATTTTATTTGGAAGAATCTTTGCAAATTATATCAAGTAATCATGAATAATCAAGCAAACAGACCAAAATATCTGAAATAAATATGCAAATATACAATTCAGTAGCAGAAAATGAAGTGTGTGTGTGTGTGTGTGTGTGTACCTACTTAACCATATTTTGGGGACAAATTTGTACTAAAAAGTGAGCTAAACCTGACAAAATCTCCAAAAACCTCCCTTTGGGGACGTCCTCATTTGTAAAAATGGTATAAAAATAAAGTAAACAAAGTTTTTTTTTTAAATTGTAAAAATGCAGAAAGTTTTCTGTAAGGGGTAGGTTTAGGTGTAGGGTGATAGAAAATACAGTTTATACAGTATATACAGTATGTGTGTGTGTGTGTGTGTGTGCATGTTTGAGGACACAAATTTGTATAATAACATGGGTATGACAGGTATTACAACGAGAAGGTGATTTATGAGGACATTTTCAGTGTCCCCGTAATTCAAAAGGCTTATAAATAATTCAGAATGAGTTTTTTTGAAAATCTAAAAATGCAGAAAGTTTCCTGTGAGGGTTAGGTTTAGGGGTAGGGTTGGTGTAGGGCAATAGAAAATACGGTTTGTACAGTATAAAAACCATTACGCCTATGGAGAGTCCCCATAAACCATAAAAACAAACCTGTGTGTGTGTGTGTGTGTGTGTGTGTGTGTGTGTGTGTGTGTGTGTGTTGTATATGTTGACTGTCATGTCGAGTACAAACTGTGAGCTCCAGTCTGTGGTCTACCTGTGAAAGTTTAATGCCACACATGCTCTGTATGAATGACTCTTGCTATTTGTCATCAGCCAGATAAAGTGTTTCATGACACCTGCAGAAAAATAAAAAACCAATAAACCACAAAGTGAGAAATGATGAGATATCAACACTTTCCAAAGCCACAAGAGATTTTCCCAGCTTTTAAGGCCCTGGGTGAGATAATAAATCAGTGAAGAAAATCAAAAGAGGAACCTTGCTGTTCAGATGTGTTTGATTGAGAGGAACCGAAAGAGACAGAGGCACATTTGAAAGATTAGGTAATCTATCTGGGGCGAGTGTGGTGGGTGACTGGTCACTCTTGTGGGTGGATCTTTTGCCTCACCAGAGGAAGTTCAGAGTTTCAAAAAAAAACAAAAAACACCTGAGATGTGTGGGGATGTGATGGGAAAGTTATAATGGTGAACATGGTCGCATGTGTCTATAACTGACGTTTCTCTCTCCTACTCAATTTCCATCCTATACCAACTGAGGTAAATACAGCAAAAGTAATCCATTGTAACCAGACCTTTTTTTGTTGTTGTTTTGAGAGTGAGATCGATAGTCTTGTCTACATTTTGGATACATCCTACTGAATACTGGCCAACAACAGTCCACTTGGACAGGAATAGTCTGACATGTAAAGAGACTATGTTTTATGTGCATTTTCTAAAAGATTTGAAACTACAATAATAGAAAAGTGTGGAAAACTCATTTGATGGCCTGAATTCAGTTCATAAAACACAAGAGAATCGCCCAAATTGTGTGTAGACTCAGAATCCATGTCCATCCAAAAGTAATCAATTCAGATTATTTAACAAACATTATGCTAATAAGACATATCTTTTTTCTGTGTACTGGAAACGTCTGACACCAAGACAAACTCATTGTGTGTCCAAGCATGCTAATACATCTCATTTTGATTCTCAAACAAATGGTTGTTTGTCTCCACCTATAGGTCTTAAAATGTTTCTACACATTATGTGATGTTCTGGATGTGCAACGAGGGTTCACAGAAATAGACATCACTGGAATGGAAGTGACTGCCTAGATGAGCTCCATAAAAACGTCAGTTGATCCACACCACAAAGTTGATAATTTTGTGGGAGAAAACAGCACTTCTTTCAGTTTGGTTTGGATATTAAGCAAAGACACTTTGTCTAAGCACAGTTGGTGATAGTATAGACCGTGTACAGTTGGAACACTTTTTGATTTTTACATTACCACACAAAAACTAAAGTAAAAACATGTATTTTTTTCATGTGATATTTCTTTTATTTGTCTATAAAATAAAAAAAATATTTATTAAAATGTTCATGTCGGGTACAGTTAAAAACAGTACCCTAGTAGAGTAAACACTATACTTTAATAAATAAAATGAAATAAATGTTTATTTATTTTAAGTTTAAATTTTAATTAGCGTAACTGACTCATTTCAAATGTTATAATGTCTTAAAAGATATCATTCTACAAAAATAACTTTATTTAAGCTCTTTTGCTCCAGTTCTTTATTATAATTAGCAGAATATCTAGTATATTCAGATGTTCTGCTATTCAATAGCCCACAGTTCATTGGTAAATCAATGAACAATTAAGATTAAGTAATATTACACTTAAAAATACAACCGTAAAAACACAGGAAATAACATTCCCTCAGTCTGCAAGTGAGTAACTCACTCATTGAGAAAAGACCTCAAGATGGCTGTGGACATCACAGATCTTCAGCATTTATTCACTGTTGGTGTGATTGGGGCTTGAGAATTGCACAGACTCTGTTGAATCGGATGGAAAATGCCATTGTTAAAACACTCACCAGATGGCAATATTTCCCAATTCTCCAAAGTTCACCAGACCTGCAGATAATTGAAAACCTCACACAAATGTCAAGAAGCCCCTACAGAGAATGTCAAGAAGCCCCTACAGAGAGGCCCAAAACTCATCTAGTAGGTTACTTTATGTGTGCGATGTGACTTTTTTTACATGAAATATTAACCTATATTATTGTAATCGATGGTCACTGTGAAAGGAGTGTGAAGGTCTGACAGCTTTTCTTCAAGGCCTCCATTTAATGAAAAGGGGGAAAAAAAGATCAGCTGATCAGTGCTTCAGAATTAGTTGGAGTTGAAAGACAGGGAGAGGCAGCATTTGCCGGTTTCATGAGAAAGGAGCTGGAAGAGAGGAAGAATGAGAAAGACTGTGCCTAAATTGCTAGTGGGCTGCCTAGCTAGATGGCATTTCTACAATGCGCTAGAAATCATTTTATGTGATTCAACTGCTAAACAACACGCACGACTTTTGATTTAATAGAATACACACATATGGGGGCTCAAAGATTTAGTAACAACAAGAGTTAAATTATAATTAAAAGAATTGATTGGGAATTTTGCATGAGGACAAAAAAAAATAAAAATCCCCACTCAGCTTTCGCAACTGCCCAGCAAATGTTCGTCTGCAATATGTCTGTTAAAGCTCGCTTTATCTAGATGCATCTGCTGTGAACAAACATCTGATCTGATCTCTAAGATGTCCGTTTTACATACATTCTAAATCATAAACATCTTATAGACATCTTCTAAACGTCTATTTGACATCTGCTGGAAAACATCTTATAGACGTTTTGCAGATGAGCAAACACTCTAAAAAATATGTCTTGCAGATATAAATGCAGACGTCAAATAGACGTCTCCGAGATGTACGTGTGCTACCAGGTTCATATTTATCACGTGGATTCGCCGTGTTGACCAACAGAAAGCTGCTTATAAAGGTGACACCTGTGTGAGCTGTGCTTCATACATAGCTATACTACTGACGATGGACCCTTTTCACATGTCCAGAAGTCAGCATAGTTGGGTAAACGTCTGTAGCAGTGAATGGGAGACTACACCAAAAATATTTTTTTGCGTTCCCATTTGCTCAGATAGCAAAATAAATATTCCACGATAGTGTTTCCATGACTTTATTCCAAAAAGAGGGGGGAAAAAAATAGTAACGTGGTCAGAAGAGAAAACATTGTCAAATGTCCGCACTCCCACAGCCGCTGTGTTAGAAACACCCTCACTGCAGCGTAAACTAGTTGCAATTTGATGCAAAGGTACAGGAAGTATAGTTTTATAAATGTACATTTTTTAAAAAGAAAAACTTTGCAGGATGACCATTGCAACGCGGCATCATAGTTTCCCGCGAAATTTAGTTCACTTCGTCATAAAACAAGAATCAACAAACAACATGGCCGTCACCTGAGGAGGCAGTTAGACCAAGACTGCTGCTTGATAACATTGACAACATACAAGTTTATCAAAATTTTTTAATGTCATAAACGTATGACAAAAACAGTGCTTGTTTAAACATTATTTAACATAACAACACATGTCTAATTGTTCTAAATTGCGTCATAAGACAATTTTGGTTGCAAGATAGCACATGTACGTCTGCAAGATGTCTGTTAAAGATCTCTTGATCTGGAAAGCATCTGCTGTGTACAAACATCTGATAGACGTCTTTCAGATGTCAGTTTTACATACATTCTAAATCATAAACATCTTAAAGACATCTAATAGACGTCTATTTGACATCTAAAAGGAAACCTCCTATAGACATATTGCAGATGAGCAAACACTCTAAAAAATACTCTTGCAGATGTAAATGCAGACGTTAAATAGACGTCTCCGAGATGTATGTGTGCTATCAGGGACAACAAATTGCGCACCCCAAATTTTGTCCCTAAGCAGGCAGCTTGCAAGTTTAAACGTCAAAATGCTGTCTGGGTAGGCAGCTCATAGGTTTTGAGACAGCCCTAGAGAGGGCGGAGGAATAGCGCTAATGCCCGCAAATCAAAACACGATCCGCTTCAAGTTTTCTCTGGGTTGTAGAAAGTAAGTTGTTTGACATGAAGAGTACAAGTCATAGAGGATGACAAACTCTTAACATATGTTTTCAGGAATGTGTTTTTCTCCATCATGTCCAGATGATGATGGCCAAAGTGCAGCTGAAACTTTTCACAAGCGCTGGGGAAAGGAGTTTTCATGTAAGTTAAGAGAGAGCGGACCAGGATCCCTGTACAAGTCTGTTCGCTTTATTAGTTAAGACTTGTGTGTATATTTCAGTATTCATCATCTACACGTGTGCCTGTACCTGCTGTGACTTACTGGAAACTTACTGGATTTTAACGTAAAACATTCAGACGATTCAAAAACTTCAACTCAGCTTTAGTCCTAACCTGTCAGATTGGCTTTATTGACGCCAACATAAGTATTGAATTGAACGGACATCATGCAGAAGCTGAATTCGGTAAACAGTCACGCGGAGCTCCAGCAGCGGCTGGCGGATCACGGCGGATCCGGAGACACTGCGCTGGAGAACGGCACCAAACACATCCCGAGTCCCGCGGAACCCGTGGATACGGTGCAGTGCTCCAGCAGAAAGATGCTGGTCGGGCTGGACATCCTCTGTTTGCTCGTGGGTAAGAGAAGAAAGCTGACACTTTGTAGTAACTTAGATTATGATTTTAATCATATAATGCAATGTTATTGTTTGAAAGATATTATGAAAAGTCAGCAGAACTTGTACTGGGTTACACTTTATAATTACAAGCATTATATAATGCTTTGCAGGTCAAATCATGACGTTTCTATTAGATTTCTATTTATTTAGCATTATATAATGTAGTAATGAAGGTTTTTGAAAATGTTGCCAAGCTGAAGTGTTTTTTTCCCACCCCCTCCCCTCCTAAGCAAAGACAACAAGTTTAAAACACCACAACAGATTTATCTGTAGGTTGTGGAGCTTCCACTTCATCTGTTTACCTCATAACAACAAAAAAATTCTCCACAAAAGATATTGTTTTCCTGCTGTCAAAACATGACACGGGAACAACATTTCAAAAGTGGAGAAATACAAAGTTGCTCCATCCAAATAATCCTCTCAAAAGCCAAATCAGAGCTTAGGAAATGAAAATAATAAGTTCATAACCTCTACGCACGTGGTGTGTGTGTGTGTGTGTGTGTGTGTGTGTGTGTCTTGAGTTTAGAGTTGGCAGGAAAGTTTGTCCTGGGAAATTCAGCCGTATCCGTGGAAGCAAGCAGTTCTCCAGAGAAAAGTCAAACTGCCTTTTCAGATGCCCTGAACTGCATGTGTTGTTTACTTTAATTGTTTTGGTTATACTTTATTGTAGCTTTCATTAAAACAGTATTAGTTTCACCGTAAAAAAATAGGGAAACTGCACAATTGTTTGTGCTCCTACCTGATCTGACCCATATTTATTTATTTATTTATTTTTCTTTCAACCTTATGTACTCAAGATTATTGTCAAATAAAATAATATTTTGGTCTTTATGAAACACATTTATTAGGTGACAAATTTTGTTTCGTCAAAAAAGATTTTCTTAGTATTTTTGTCTTGTTTTCCATTACAAATATCTAAACATTCTTAAAACAAGATACATTTACTTGAGAAGCAAAATGACTTAAGATATTAAGTCTTGTTTTTTTTTTTAACTATCAGAATAAAAAAAAATAAAAAATCTTGTTTGCCCTTGAATTAAGGTTTTTTTCTTACCCCATCGGTGGATATTTTTCTTGTTTTAAGCAAAAACACAATTTTGATGAATTTTCCAGTAAACAAGACAATATTTTAAGTAATTATACTTCTCAAGTAAATGCGTCTGCCGTTTTGATTCAAGAATGTCTAGATATTTACACAACATGAAAGTTATTATGAAGTGTGAAGTTTCTCTGCCACTTCCCAAAGACTTTTTCATCTGCACAAATCCTAGCAAAATGTTGTCCTGTTAGTTTGTTGACACATTTACTGCTGTCTGCAATGTTGATAGTAAAATTAGTTCACACCCCATCTGTTTCAGATGATTTAATGTGTCACAGCAACATTCACAACAGGGATGAGGCGATAAACACTTCAATTGTGTTTTTTTGTCGTTGCTTTTGGTGTGCCAAATAGAACCTGTCCAGGCAGACAGACAGGTTACAGTAAGTTCTTCACTGGCTTGACTGTGCGGATCACTCACATAAGACCTGCTGTAAGCCTCCAGAGAAAAGTCCTTGTCCCACAGAATCTGTTTTTAGAACAGTGTCTGGTTCCTGCTTGAGGTTTATGGAGGAAAGGGCCTCCTTTGATTTAGGATGATTGTCACTTTCTGACTTATGATGTTACAGTCATGCACTCAGCAGGTTTGTGCACTCTAACCGGATTAATACGTGATTAAGAAAGAGGAGTTCTTATAACCTTGTGATGGCAGACTGCAGTATGTCGAGAGTGAGCAGAGAGGAACTGTGCTGTGGGATGAGGCATGACGTGATAAATGACAGGGTCATTTGCGATTGCTCACTCTGGGTAACATCGTGCGTGCATTTTCCTCTTTTGATGGACGTGGAACTGTCAAACATTCAGAGCCACATGATGCAGCTCATTTATGCTGTGTTCATCTGAAGTATTGAAATGTTGCTTTCTGGTACCCTTGAGCATGAGTTTGAACTGAATGTAATGTTTGCACTTCTCAGACACTTAAAGGGTTTGTTCACCCAAAAATGAAAATTCTGTCATTAATTACTCACCCTCGTATTGTTCCAAACCCGTAAGACCTTCGTTCATCTTCGGAACACAATTTAAGATATTTTTGATGAAATATAAGGGCTCTCTGACCCTCCCATAGACAGCAAGGTAACTACCACGTTCAAGGTCCAGAAAAGTACCAAGATGAACGAGAAAGTAGTCCGTGTGACATCAGTGGTTTAACTGTTAAGTTACGAAGCTACGAGAATACTTTTTTGCGCAAAGAAAACTAAAATAACTAGTTTATTCCACATTTTAATCTATACTGCGTCACTTCTGGATGCACGTTAATGACAGTATCATGATGCGAGTGTGTGGCGTCGCCGGCGCTGACCCAGATCCGGCGTGATGACTTATTATTAATTATTACGCCGTTATTTTAGTTTTCTTTGCACAAAAAAGTATTCTCGTAGCTTCGTAACTTTACAGTTGAACCACTGATGTCACACAGACTACTTTGTCGATCATCTTGTTACTTTTCTGGACCTTGAACGTGGTAGTTACCTTGCTGTCTATGGGAGGGTCAGAGATTTAATCAAAAATATCTTAAATTGTGTTCCGAAGATGAACGAAGGTCTTACGGGTTTCGAACAACACGAGGGGGAGTAATTAATGACATAATTTTCAATTTTGGGTGAACTAACCCTTTAATTGCATTACATTTGAATGAAACTGTACTGTAGTTTCATCTATACTTAAAAAGTCTTTTTGAACCACTTAAGTAGGACTTAAATACATCTTTATATGTAATTTCATAATTACTACTTTTGTCTTTGAAATATGGTTAAATTGTAATGCTGAATGTACTGGCAAGCACGTATTGGTAAACTAAAATATACTTTAATATAATTTCTGTTGAAAAATTGTACGTCATTTATTTAAATATATCATTCATTTGATATTTATAATGATGAAGGTGCAATTTTGTGCATTCAGAAAATATTCATTAAATATAATTTTACTAGTTTACTAATTTATTTTAAGACTTTTATTTTGAAATTAAAAAGTGCACCGTTTAAAAGCATCCTTAAGTGTGTTAAGAAACATAGTCATGAAAGTGGACTCTCTTTTAGTACACTTGAGCTTTATTTCATTAATATGATCTTATCTGCAATTACATTTTTTTTAAATATGCTTTTACATTCGATACAATTAAGTGCACCTCTTTTTCACAAGGATATGTTGGATTTAATAATTGGATTCTCTATTGGATGAAAATAAGACTAATAAAATGGAAAGATATGTTTCTAAAATCTGCGACTACAACCTTTGACTGCGACTACAAAGTTGAATGCTGCATAATACACCAAGTTTATATGTTTCTGGTCAACTATGAACATCTTTCAGATTGGCTAATGAACAATATTATTTAGATAGAAACTTAGCAACCTGGCTCGTTAATATAGAATGTGCAGTTATAGTTGTGAGTTTATTGACCATTTACAGTTTTATAATATAAAACATATTTTCTGACTCTAAAATCTGATTGGATGAACTATATTCAAAGGTGCTGCAAAACACACCTGTGACTGCACAACAGTTGAATTCTGCGGTATATTAAGCAAGTGCATGTTGTTTGGCAACAGTGAACAACCTACATTCAATGAATAATATTTATTGGTGCAAGTTTATTCTGCATTTTATTACCAGCATATTTGAATGTTAACTAAACATGGTGTCTGCATCGTATTGCTCTTGGCTTACTGTGTTTGAAGCTTGAGCCTATCTCAGGCTTAAGGATTGTAACTGATTTCCGTGTGTTGTTTTTTCAGCAGTGAATAGGGTATTCATGCCACGGCATTCTGATCCACTTTTAATAACCCAACAAAGCTGGAATAAGAGCAGTTTTGATGGCGGATCTGTCAGGGAAACTCTTGCTGTGCATGTGAAAGTGAGCGCTGACTGCATCAGCAGCGGAAAACAGCGCTGCAGATTGATTACAGAGGCACTCAGACACGCTGAGACGATCGATCACTCACTTGGCTCCGCTTCTCTGCAACTCTTTTGTCAGTACATTCCACTCGGCCAGACTGCGATACATAAGGAAGTTCTGGAGAAATGCTTGCCCTGGAGATCTGCTTGAGTACCTGTTGCTTGAGCGGGTCAAAGGTGAAAGTGTGAAAGAAAGGTCACAGGCATACCTGAGTGCGTGTTATGAGAGAGAGCCTGTTGAAACAAGCACTACTGATTCCCTATCACCCTCTTCCACAATTTCACAATCCTCTTATAGCTGTGGAAAGAAAAAAATATATATTATATGTTGGACCAACATATATGGTCGTATTGCTGCAGGACAGTACTGTGCCAGATCTCACTTTGAAACTATTGAATGTTTGCCAAGATAAACATTGCTTTTTTGCCTCATCTGAAAGTAAAAAACAAAGTTTAAAAGGCCATGAAGTTTGATGGTCATATGCTTTACAGATGGAGACCGACAGGCAAATAAAAACAGTGGATGGATAGATGGTTTTTAAAGTTTTTGTAAGAATCTATTAATTTATTCCATATACATATATAAAATGTAAATATATGTGCAAAAAATGTAAGAAATAAAAGTAAAAAAAAAATATATTTTTTTAAATATATGGTACATATAAGGAAATATTATTTCATTTTATAAATCTATAAATAAAAAATTAAATCATGAATATATAGACCTGAATTTAAAAATATGAAATTTCCATTTAAACAACTTTATCTAACAAATAATCTAATATTTATACTTTTCTGACAAAATATTTATTTAATTTAAAAGTAAATCCTGAATATATAGATCTGAATTGATTGAAAATCCAAAATTTACTTTTAAATAACTTTAAATTATCCAAATATAATATTTATATTATTTATATATGTAAATATATCAATCCTGAATATACAGTACATACACCTCT